GATCAATTGTTTTCAGCAGCTATTCATATTTTTTTCAATTTTATGATTAAACATGCTTTTCCGGATATCCTATTACGCATCCCACTGAACGCCCAGTTACGCCGATGTGGGTTATTTCGACATATGCTATTTGCAATTGTGTCAATTTTAGGGATACAGAGTAACATCCTAAAAACATTTTTTTCTATCTCCGACAGTACTTTAGCATCTCATCTCTCACTGTCTGGTGTACGTGGTTTCTTTCTTGTCAGGACACAGGGCATCCACTATGAGAAACATTGTGCCGTTGACGTGGACTTGAATGATGTAAATCTGGTGGAAGATGGCGGGGCAGGAATGTTCCATCGCAGAACCACGTGGAAGCTTCTCCAAGATGGATGAGGTTGTCTATTGGTGCCAGGATGATAATCTTGTCTCTGTCACCATCTTCTTTGAGGATGAAGTTTTCACCACTGAAGGTCTGACGCCATTTTGCTTCAATGTTGACGTCTTCACGGCTTGTAGGTATTTGTGGTACAAGCTTCTGTGTTTCGCTGTACAGGGATGACAGGGCGGAATATAGTGGCAGTAACTTGGCAACCAGTGCTTCTTTTCTCAAACCTGTAATAAATTGAACATTAGATTAGTATGTCAATTTAAAAAAATAAGTAAAAGCTTATAAAAACATTAATCACACTTATTGAATATATGCTGTAATGATAGCGAATGATAACGATTGATTTCAAGTTTGAGCTAGCTGAAAATGTCCGTTTGGACAAATCTGCAGTGCAAGATAAACGTAATTAATCAATAAACGTGTTATCGGTTAATCCTCTGCTGATAATTCATCGGAATGTTCCCATCCACCCAGTCCTGTTTTATGGATTTAATGAACCAGTCAAGCGTGATAGTCCCCTAAAACAACAGGTATTGGGTGAAACTAGATACCCATGTACTGGATCGATACAGAGCGGACTTGAGGTTGTTGAACATGGGAATCTTTGTGATGACTTGTGCATCTGTATTTGTGGCTCTCAAATCTGAGATGAAGAAAGAGCTTAGTTAGTAGGAAACACATGAATGCAAATTTGTATCCTTTTACATGTGTTTTAAAATATTTAACACAGATGTTCCCGACTACAAGTAAGCATGGATAAGCAAATATATAATAATTACCTGAAACTGTGTCTTGGTGTAAGGCTGGAATCGAACGAGGTGTCTGTCAGACGGATTCGCGAAGTTCAGCAATGATGATGTCTGTAGAGATCTTGCTCTCATCTGGTTGATGGTTGTGCTGGTTGGAGTACGTGGTAACAATACCACCTTTGGTATTGATTGTAGCTCGACAATCTTTCTGACAACATCTCCAATGAATAGACTTTAGTTTTCTGGTTTTAATACTAATTTTGTATCCCATGGGAATCAAATATGCCATCCTCGTCCATTTGGAATGAAACGAGTTCCGTTTGCAATCTGAGCATTCGCCATGGTTAAGTGATATTTACTTCTTTTTGATATTTATTTATATTATACTATATATATATATATATATATACTGAGCCGCAAAAGAAACGCAAGTCAAAATCCAGATTTATAAAAACTTTACTTTTGACACATAATGCATGAAAACAGGTACATAATAACAATCAACACGTATTGCATGATTATTGGGACATGTCAGTCAATGCATGGAAACATTTTTGGTTTACTTTGCATTGAGGACAAAATGGAAATTGATCCAACAAGTCAGTAGCGCGTATGTCCACCTCGTGCATTCACTACAGCTGTGCACCGCCTGAACATGGAGTGAATCAGACGGTTGACAAAGGCCCTACGGATTGCCGCACATGTCCGGATGATGGCCTGGAGTTCTGCTGCAGTTGTCGGGCGTGGTCGGACTTCATTCAGTCGTCTCTGCACCTCGTCCCAAAAATGTTCGATCGGGTTTAACTCGGGACTGACAGCAGGGCATGGCAGTAGTCGGATGTTGTGCTGCTGGACAAATGCCTGAGTGACTCTACCAGTGTGGGGCCTGGCATTATCTTGCTGGAAAATGTGTTGCTGGTGTCGGACGAAAAATGGCACAACCTGGGGTCGGAGGATCTGGTCGATATAACGTTGGGCAGTGACTTCATTTCCCCGACCTGGCCCAATATTCTGGAAGAATACTGGCCCTAATCTCTGATTCAGGCCAATCGCTGCCCATACCATAACGCTCGGACCTCCCTATGCATCAACTTCCATTACACATTCGTCAGCAAAGCGTTCACCTCGTCTTCGCCATATTCGAACTCGGCCGTCAGCATGAGAAATGCAAAACCGACTTTCATCAGAGAACAATACCAGTCTCCACTGTTGTTGACGCCACTTTCGATGCAACGTAGCCCACTACAGACGATTCTGACGATGTCTCTGTGTGAGGATAGGACGTCGAGCTGGACGAAGACAACGGAAGTGGACTGCTCTGAGTCTGCGCCGAACTGAATCTCCGCTTATTGCTCGTTTGTGACGTCCAATAGTCTGTCGGGCAGTCTCGTTGGCAGATAAGAATGAATCCCCGATGTCCGAACGTTGAATGTGTCGATCTTGCCGTGGTGTTGTGACTCTCGGACTTCCAGGACGTTGGCGGTCAGCAGTGGTCTGTGTAGCAAAACGTTCCTGAAGACAGTAGATCGTCGTTATGTGCACATGGAATGCATTGGCAACATCTGCAACACTCTGTCCAGCTTCAAGACGGCCGATGGCTTGTTCCCTCTGTTGCGTCGTTAACCTTGGCATTCTTGGTGGGCGTATGTCGGGAGTGATTGAAACTGATTTGAGGGCATATTTATACCCCTATGTGTCCGTGACAAAATGCGCATCATGATTGTCATGAAAAACTTCTGCAACCACATCCCACGGGCAATTCAATTGCTGCGTTTTGGCGATGTGCAATATCCAGGAAAAATCACCAAACAGAACCTGAACATTACAAAACTGTTTTTTCACAACAAAGGTGACCAATGTGTAGTTACACAATAATATTTAACAATATTCTGTCGAATATGTATTAACAATTTTTATGCGGTTCAGTATATATATATATATATATATATATATATATATATATATATATATATATGCGTATTATATATATATATATGTATGTATATATATATATATACGTTCTGATTTGTGTTCACTTTGTTAGATAAGTGATTTATGATCGATGTGAACTCATACTCAAGATTGACAGCAACCATACAAAGATGATTAAGTGTTCACCTATCAAAACTAATTGCTGTCAACGTCAATTGATTGAACTGTTTTCAATTATCTCACCTGATGCAGTTTTACAGGCCTTCATATATAAACTTGATTATGAATTCTTACAAACAGAATTTTAATAGTTAAGTGTTAGGTCTAATTTGTTTAGTATCCAGATGAAAACCTTGTTGTGTTCCCTTTTTAACAAAGGGATTAAAATTTTATGGATATAATTTCACAGGTAACTTACTAAACCTACCCCGTGGCTGACCAAACTAATCCTAATCCCTAATAGATAGGTCGATAGACATCACATTGTTACATGATATGAATGAAAAATATAGATGAGGTAATAAAATTGTTGGCACGAAACATCAGTCGCTCTGGATCAGTGCCCCTTTAAAGAAACTCGGATCTGGCACTTTCTAAAGATTAGGATCACATTTATCAGGTTGTCTCTACATGTGTGTGTGTGTGTTTTACCGACTGCATGAACTGACCGTGATAACGCCGTGATAGCGTTGGAATAGTCAGTGAGTGAGTGAGTTTTGCTTTACGCCGCTTTTAGCAATATACAAGCAGGGGACACCAGAAATGGGTTTCACAATTTGTAACCATATGGGGAATTGAACCCGGGTCTTTGGCGTGACGAGCTTTATCCACTAGGCTACCCCACGGCCCTCGTTGGAACAGAGCTGGAAGTAGCTTCAACCATACACGCTTGTATTATTCACGTGAATGTGGAAATAGAATCCCATCTACAACGTACGTGGCCGTCACTGCAGGGCGACGTCAAGCAGCGACAGTCGTGACAGAGTTTATGCATCACTGTGATGCAACCAGGTGTCTGCGAGTTGACCTATCCTGCACACCGGCTGCACGTCATAAAACATGGGAGTGAGCCCTACAGGAAACTGGGTAACGGAAACGCACTGGAGCCCTACAGGAACCAGACTTGTAAGTTTCCGCTTTCCGAAACTTGAAGGAAATGTAGAGAAACAGTCCGGAAACCTAATTGAAACTTAAGCTTCCATTTTTTTTTTGGTGTCCGGAAACCAAGTGAGTGTTGGCTGAGGAACTGTTCATAATTTATGGCTAGGGGGTGTGATGATGATTTTACAGAGAAGCATGCACAATGTGAATGTCCCCTCCCTCCCTATAAAATTTATGCACAAAGTAAGTGACCCCTCTACATGTCATGTACAAAATCAACGACCCCTCCTTCCCATAATTGTTTAGCATAATTTAAAAATAATTTTATGTACAAAATTGCATACCCCTTAGTAAAATTGATGATCATCACCCCACCAATACCCTATTAAAATCACCCCAGCCCCCAAGCCATAAGTCATGACCGGTCCCTCACCGTTTAATGATAAACATCCAAGCAGAACATCATTATCGCAGCTGCATATCTACACTGTCATGGGATAAGGACAAACTTTATGGTTATTCGGCTGATGCGACGTTTTGAAGTTGTTCATCCATAAAGTTCGTCCTCATCTGATTCACCAACTTCTAAATATGCCACTTAAAGAAGTTACACTGTCATGGCTTAATGACATTTAGAGCGTGCCAAACATTTACTGTCCCAGGACCTTGTTGATTTCACCCCACATGCCGTCAGGTCATCTAATTTCTCCCTGTCGATCACCAACAGAATCAACCAACTATAAGTAGTCACGAGCATATACCGACACGATTATACTGTGGAATATTTATACCATCTGTGGCACAACGCTTGCATACTGGGATAATATATGTACAACTCTTACCTGACGGTTAAGGCTATCACAAGCAGACAGGAACAAAACGCTCCGAATATCGTCACAAAACCGAATACATGTTTTGTCTTCATTGTTTTGCTTGACTTTGAGAATCTGCCAGGAACCACAGACTGTTATTTGGTGCCACGGAAGAGGACAACGCGAGCTTGTCCTTCCCGAATGCTGTTTATGACGTGAATGGTGAATGCCACCAGCTGTACTGTTAATAATCTCGAATCTCGTGAACAGCTGCGCTTTTTCAAATGTGAATGCGTACTGTCGGGCAGGAGATCCGCGTAGTGGTACATGGACATTCCCAAATAGACGTCTAGTTGGTTAATGGCTGAACGCGTAAAACCGGAGCATCTCGCAGATCGATAACCAGGATCTAGGACAAAGGAGACGGAGGTGGAGGAGAAGTATCGATTTTGGGCATTGCGGCTTCATCTTCTCCAGATGCAGCAAGGGTGAAGTGACTCGAATAATCGAATAAGCATATCACAGGGATGTATCCAACAAAGACGTTCTGATATGTTATGAATGACAAGTAACCCATAAATCCACACTATCGTATGCAAATAAAAGCGAAGTGTTACAGATTATCGACTCCGAAGACATTTGCCTTAAAGGCTTTTTAGTTTACGGCCGGTTATCATTACGCGCTGAACTGGGTCGATGTGTTCGGTCGAAGTGGCTTTACGTTCTTTTTCATTATAAACAGACTTTCATTAAAAATGAATTTCCGAAACAATTGTCAATTTAGTTCATATACAGGCCCAAGAAGGTGATAAGTCCATAATAGTGAGTGAGTGAGCTTAGTTTTACGCCGCTCTTAGCAATATTCTAGCAATATCACGGCGGGGAACCCCAAGAATGGTCTAAGATGAAAAACAGTGAACAAGTTCTCAGAGATTTCATTTGAAGGGAAATGAACTCCGACATGAGTGAGTGAGTGAGTATTCTCAACACCGCTTTTAGCAATATTCCAGCAATATCACGACGGGGGGACACCAGTAATTGAACTCTCTGAGTCTACAGGAGACAGGATAAGCCAGTGATGCCCATCAATATGTGACAATGTGGGTGAGTGAATGAGTGAGTGAGTGAGTTTGGTATTAAGCCGCTTTTAGCAATATTCCAGCCTATACCACGACGGGGGACACCAGAAATGGGCTTCACACATTGTACCCGTGTGGGGAATGGAACCCGGGCCTTCGGTAACCTCACCACCCCATTCCACAGAAGAAGTGCTTCCTGAAATTGTTCTTCATATCAGACCACCATGCCATTTACCATCATGACTGTCGAATTTCTTATTACTAAAGAGAGAGGGGTGATGCGGTAGCCTCGTGGTTAAAGGGTTAGTTGTCAGACCGAAAGCCCGAGTTCGATTCCCCATATGTGAAGCCAATGTCTGTTGTCCCCTGTCGTGACGATGCTGCAATGTTGCTAAAAGCGGCGTAAAACCATACTCACTCAACCACAACGAGATATAGATGCCGTGAAGAGATGCGGGGAAGAGTTGGAAGCTAAAGATTCAGCGTTGAGGACCACTTTTCAGATGAGATGAACCAGTACGATAGAGCAGTACATACAGCATATGAACTACGAGAAGAGGGGCGCTAGACTTTCTCCCAGTCCCTGAACCCCAATATTTTCCCATGGAGTAAGAGTGAGTGAGTGAGTTTAGTTTTACGCCGCTTTTAGCAATATTTCAGCAATATCACGGCGGTGAACACCAGAAATGGGCTTCATACATTGTACCCATGTGGCGAATCGAACCCGGGTCTTCGGCGTTATGAGCGAACGCTTTAACCACTAGACTACCCCACCGCCCCCCATGGAGTAAGAATCTTGATTTTAGTGATACATTTAATTATTATGATTGTGTTGATAAAAGTGTAGATAAATTAGCATTACGTGGAAGACTCTCTGGTATACTAGTTATAGTACGAAAAACGCTGTAACAACACATAAAGTGGTCCAAAATAACGGATAACACAATATTTATGTGATAAATGTCTCTTTGATCTAGATGCTGACTTACTATAAGTTCAAGATATTTGTATGGATTAAACTTCTTTTTTAATTTCTCTCACGACGTTTCGAGACCATTCCAGGTCCCTTCATCAGGTGATCAGGTCCTTCATCATCCATAAAAATATCTTGGACATCAATGTTCAACTTCTAAATGCCACTGAAAGACATCATTGCTATACGTTGTACTTATATACACCCAGAAGGACCTTCCTGGTGCAATAGTTTAAATGCATACTGCAGAAATGGTATTACAATTTTCCAAGAGAGCTGATATCTGATCTTCCAGACATCTAAGTGTTATGTGGGGGCGACTTGCTCGAACAGGTACTAATCCGGATTTTGTTGATGATGACATTATTCTTCACACTGAAAGTAAAGATCACTCGATCACATTTACATTAATCTTGAACGATTCACCTGTGATAAGATTATGAACCATTATGGTGGATGCTTGTTAGATATATGTAGTATTCTAAATATCCACATTGTAAATGATAACTGTGGCTCAGATTCTAACACTGGCCAATACATGTGTGTAGAATTTTATTTGACTTCAAAGTGAGAGTTGAAGGGGAAGGACATATATGTCCCTGTGGCACCCAGGGGGTTAAAGTAACCCCAATACTATTATATGGATAAGAAATATGGGGTTTGAATAATTATGAATCTATAGAAAAAGTCCACCCATATGCATGCAAACATATATCGGTGTGAAATCCAGCACATGTAACTATGGTATACGGCGAGTGTGGTAGATTTCCATTATACATATATTCTACTATTAAAGTTATAAAGTACTGGTTACGATTGTTAACCATGCCATGTCATAGATTTCCTGAGAAATGTTATAATATGAGGTGAGGTGAAATGGGGTTTTACGTCGTTCTTGAGAATATTTCGCTCATATGACGACGTGCATGCGTGTGTATGTGTATGTGTGGCTGCTTGTACTAGCCCAGACTTAAGCTGGTTTTATAGTGCTAGCTCAACTGAGATACCATGCCGCAGTGAAGCATGAATACCCCACTCAGACACATTATACTGACTCCGAGCCGACCAGTCCTTGTTGTACCCATTAATGCCGAGCGCCAGGCAGGGACCAACAAGTACCATATTTTAACGTCTTTTGGTATGACGCGGTCGGGGATCGAAGCCGCGACTTTCTGCTCTCCGGGCGGACGCTCTAACCACTACACCACGGAGGCGGTCCTTATAATATGATGATAGCATATGATAAAAATGGGAAAAGAAATTGGGTAACTAACGTAAGGGATTTTATATTCAAAACGGGACATGGTTATGTTTGGAATAATCAAAACGCCCATACAGAAACGTATTTTATTATGTCACTGACCCAAAGAATGAAAGACATTTATCAACAAACATGGCTTGAATCAATCTATCTATACTCTAGATGTCTGTAAAATAAACAATGGAAATCTGAACTGTGCCAAGAATATTATCAATCAAACATCACTGTAAAGAAATTCCGTGTAGCTTTATCCTGTTTTCGCAGCTCATCGCACGAGTTGTTTGTTGAAACCACAGGCAAATTGTAGCGCAAATGGGGTAACGCTTCAAAGAGAAAATGACCAGTCTTCCCATATGCGAGCGAAGCGAGCAAAGGTTGGCAACGTGCTTCCCTCGCTTCGGTTCGAAAAATATTTTGAATGTCAAAATAAAATAGATTTTTTAAAAATATGCTTTCATTTACCCGTCACCCCAGAAGTGTTTCTGTAGAATAAATGTTACGAAAATTCGACAATAACGACGGTAGATAAGAAATATAATATCCAACAGTTTAACGGTAAAATTTTACAATATGATATTTGTGTTAAATTTCTGCTTATTCTTGTTCCTTCACTCCGTTGAACCGGAAGCTGGCAGGTGTAATGGAGGCGAGGGACGATTTGACATGCCACAATTTGCGCTTAAAATGTTGAATTAAATATATTGTACTTGAGTAATTATTAAATATGAGGTTGGAAATCTGAGAGCACAACTCTGTGAAGACATGGGTGTCTACCTTTGATGATGGCGATATTTTATTTTGACATTCAAAATATTTTTCGAACCGAAGCGAGGGAAGCACGGTTGCCAACCTTTGCTCGCTTCTCTCGCATATGGGAAGACTGGTCATTTTCTCTTTGTTGCGCGACCCTATTTGCGCTACAATTTGCCTGTGGTTGAAACTGCGCGTTATATTAATATTCCCCGTAATCATAGAATTTGCAACCTCTGTAACGTTAATGCTGTAGAAGACGAATACCATTTTTTTTTATCTGTCCCGCCTATGAAAACGCCAGAAAGAAATATTTAACATCCTACTATTATACCCATCCAAATAAAATATCATCACACTATTAACAAATGAAAAAACTATTGTTGTAAGGTTAAAATGCATCTGTTATAGAAGAAACGTATCACAAATCTATTATTGAGAATTACGGTTATTTCATGATACAATGGACTGACTGACTGAGTATGGTTTTACGCCGTTTTAGCAATATTTTCACAAATTGTACCCATGTGGGGGAATCGAACCCGGGCCTTCGGCGTGACGAGCCAACGCTGTAACCACTAGGCTACCCCACCGCCCCGTGATACGATGGATGCTATCACTGCTTGGTAATAAACTAAGGGATAGAGAGCATAATAACTGTCGCTAACAGAACATAAAAGTCCCTTAAAGTAGCAATTAACGGTGAATTATAGATGAGAGTTAACAGTACATTCACAAGAGACCATGGAATGATGTAACTTTAAACGAATCAGAACCATTGTATCGGGACATGTGACAAGGGCGGAGCAGGCTCGAACACCTTAAAAAGATACCGTCAGTACTAGAAAGTGGTGCAGGTTTCAAAGTCAGCAGAACCTTCGCATCGCGATCATGTTTGGTAAAGAGCTTGCCCTGCCCTGTCCTGTCCAAGTCACCTTGTAATGAGTGAGTTGGGTTTTACGCCGCTTTTAGCAATATTCCAGCAATATCACGGCGGGGGACACCAGAAATGGGCTTCACACATCAAACTCGGGTCTTCGGCGTGACGAGCGAACGCTTTAACCACTGGGCTACCCCACCGCCCCTACCTTGTAATGAAGAGAGGGATCGAGTAAACCTATGCGAGTATAAAACTTGGTGTGTACCTATTCCTGGTATGGCAGAGTGCCAACGCATGAATGAAATATGGTTATTGGGGAGTTACAGTCGTCTGACCTCTCACTCCTAGACTTAACATTCCCCATGGACCAAGCGAGTGTGTAACTTGAGCTTACATCACCCCTGACAATGCGGAACGGCCATCTTAATAGGTAACTGGTAATAGGGTTTGCTGACACCCAAACGACACTATTGACTTACAGAACCTGTCAATGTAGATCCATTTTGCATTTATACACAGAAAATCTGCTTTAAATTTGCAAATGCTTTTCTACTGCTGAGTACTAAATATTGTATATATAAATGAACTATAGGCCTGTGATCTTTTAAGTACCGAATAAAGATTGATTGAGTGAATATTTTCCC